ACACACACACATACACACACACAGGCACATACACACACACACATACACAGGTACACACACACACACACAGGTACACACACACATACACACACACATACACACACACACACACACACACACACACACTATTTTGATGTTAATGGGACTTTAGCCTTGATAAGTGAACCGAGGCGACACATTGTCTGTCCCATTGTGTGTGTGTGCAAATGAATGCATGAACACTGTGTGTGTGTGTGTGTGTGTGTGTGTGTGTGTGTGTGTGTGTGCAGACGGAGAGGTTCATGCAGCAGCTCACTGAGTTTGCGGGGGAGCAGGGGATGAGTGCGGGTCCTCTGAGGAACCTGATGAAGAGTGTCCTCCTGGTGCCACAGGGTGAGAGCGACACACACACACACACACACACACACACACACACACTTATTGTCTGTTGGCTCATGGAATCTGGTGGAAATCTTAAGTTACTCAAAGTAAAACTTCATCGTTCCTCCTCTAACTCCTCATCAGTGGCGTCCGTCTCAGTGATTCTTCTGTTCTGTCACCAGGAGCCCTGAAGAAGAACCTGGCAGCCGAGCTGATCACAGAAGACCTCGTCACGTTAGGTACGCATCGCTGACGGGCTCCTGTTTCAAACAGGGGTCGGGTGTCGCTGCCGTGTTCCTGCAGTGTTTTTACTTCACGGTACAGTTTGAACACGTGAACTCAAACCTGCTGCGTGTGTTGTTTCCTCAGGACTGAGCGAGGACAAGGCGTCTCACTTCTCACAACAGGTAACTTTCCATGAAGTCCTCAAAGAGTTCATCTCTCCATGTTCATCACTTACAGTCTGAAGATGACTGGACTCTTCTGGTTTTTCCATGAGGAGATTTGATCATTCTGACATGTGCTGATGTTTGCAGTGGGCGGAGCACTATGCGGCGCTGTCCCGACAGGCTGTCGGTCAGACGCTGATGGTCAACCAGCTGGTCGACATGGAGTGGAAGTTTGGAGGTGAGACGAACCAATGATCAGGTCAATGCTTTTAAACGTGTGGACGAGTGTGGACGAGTGTGGACGAGTGTGGCTGCAGCTCCGTCTCCTCTCACAGCTACGGTGCATATTCATGTCCTCTCACATCATCATCGTCAGCACAGCTTCTTCTAATGCAGTGTTTACGATTCAGTCTTGTTTAAACGACCCACAGTCGACGCGTCTCTATCAGGCCTCGTTACTTCACATGAGCTAATGACTCCCAGTGATAGAGATGCTAATCCAGCAGACAGGAGGGTCCTCAGCATCACGTGGAGCTGTTGTTGAGCCGCCACATTACAACACAGCGGTTTGTGGACAGGGAGCGGCTGCTGGACGTCACTGTGCTGTTTGTTCATGTATGAAAGACTAAAGACACCGTGTCTCTGCATGTTGTCCTCTCATATTAAGACACTTAAAAACTCACTGCAGAGAAGCAGTTTAACAGAGAGAAATGTCCCAGAGGGACTCGGGTGATGCAGGATACATGAAACACTCAGGTTTATAAAAACACACAGGATCCATCAGATCACGCTGCTTCTTCTGACGCTGGCAGTAACGCACCAAGCAGTTGTTCGCCAGCCGCCGTTAATCATCTCAAGAAGAAGTCGTCACTCCGCTGCGTCCAGTCGGCCGTCTGTGGAGACTTAGATCCAAAATGGACCTTTGATTCTCAAAGAGGTAGAAAGAATAGAATGGATAACACGTGTGACTCTCCCATGAACACGTCGTCATGTATGTTTTCATCAAACGATACTTTAAGTGAGATGGGAAAAGACTTGAGATCTGTTGTTGACGATTCACTGACGCTACGAGAAGTTTCATTGGACGAAGGTGCTCGCATGAAGTTTTTAAGAAAAGTCGCTGACACTTTTGTCTCCAAACAGTTTTAGTTTAACAAACTTATTTAAGCATCATGATGTGTTTCTGTATCTCCGCACCGATGACACCTGGTGGTCAGAGGCATTATGTTTCCATGTTCTCCGTCAATTCCATTCTTGTGAGCGTGATATCTCAAGAACAGCTCGAGAGAATGTCTTCACATTTTGGACAAATATTCCCTCGTACTCAAAGATGAACTCATTAGATTCCAGAGGTCAAAGGTCACGGTGACCTCAGTCTGGAAGTGGAATGTGGACTGAAGGTGGCGGCAGCAACCACAGGACGGTAACTAGTTCTTTTCTGAACCCTTCAGTGACTGTTGGCACCAGTGAGATCCAGAAAGTGGGGAACATCTTTCTGCAGGTATGAGAGCTTTGTGCTCACACACACACACACACACACACACACACACACACACACACACACACACACACACACACGTGACTCCTGGTTCTCTTGTCCTGCAGTTGAAGCTCGTGGTCAGAAAGGGGACTTCCACTGAAAACGTCTACATGGGTGAGTGAGTGAGTCTGTGTCCGTCTCAAGTCATTTATTACGTTGCTCGATAAAATGAACCACGAAGACGATTCAGCAGAAACGTTTGATGAGCTGTCAGACATGAGTCAGCAGCAGAATTAACGATTAGCACAAAGATGAGCCTGACCCTCCCACTTCAATCAAGCTGCACCAAATCACTCGTGAGCCGTTTTCAGACATGACGACGTCTCTTTTCACAAGTTTGCCTGGAAAATCTTCCAAATCCTCCTCGTTCTTCTGTAAAACGTCAGGTGTCACAATATTAAAGAAAGTGATGAAAAACAAACGATGGGACACGAGAAAAGAGAATTCATTGGATCTTTGTTGCAGAACCGTGAAGAAGCCGATCCAGGAACTTTTTTTCTTGCTAGAAAGTTTCTGGACGTTTTCTGTGATTCTGTGATAATAATTCATGGACCCTGATTAAAACTAGCCGACAGTGTGAGAGAACTGATTCTATCAGCCTGAGTGACTGAGCGCAGCTTGATTGACTCTAAGAGGACGTTTCAAACCTTCAACCAAAATGATGAACCCTGGCTGTTGATGCCAACTGAAAAGAGAAATAAAACTGTAATAAATAATTTTTATTTTTATTAATTGTCTGTGTTACCATAGTAACGTCATCTTATCTGGTTTTATCTGGTAACTGCTTCCTGTTTTCTTCCTCCAGAGCTGACGCTCCCTCAGTTTTACAACTTCCTACACGAGATGGAGAGAGCCAAGGCCAGCATGGAGTGTTTCAGCTGAGTGTGTGTGTGTGTGTGTGAGAGTGTGTGTGTGAGTGTGTGAGTGTGTGTGTGTGTGTGTGTGTGTGTGTGTGTGTGTGTGTGAGAGAGTGAGAGTGAGTGTGTGTGTGTGAGAGTGTGTGAGTGAGTGAGTGAGTGAGTGTGAGTGAGTGAGTGAGTGTGTGAGTGTGTGAGTGTGTGTGTGAGAGTGTGTGTGTGTGTGTGTGTGTGTGTGTGTGTGTGTGTGTGTGTCAGCCTGCCAGTGACTGAAGCTAAACACAAAAAGAAGCAGTAGATTTTCATTTTCTTTAATCGTTTAAATAAAGTGAATAAGGAGGAAACACTTGTTTGTGTTTGGAATCAGTGAAGTTCTTCTGTGTTCAGACACTTTGTTTGAAATGATCAAACTTTGTTCTCGTCCGTTGATCAAATGAAACTTCACCAGTTTGTGGAGATGTTTCCACATCTCAGTCGAACCTGGAGTCAGTTCCAGCGTCACTCAGACGAGAGGCGAAGGCCCGGGAACCTTCCCAGCGAGTGGGCGTGTCTCTGAGGTTTCTAACACGTGACGGACGTGAAACTGAAGAACACAAACGTCTCAGGATGAAGAAGAGGAGCCGGACACGTAGAAGACGAAGACGTCCACATGGAAAGACGAGGAGGTTCCAGATGTTTTGGTGATGAGGGCCGACGCCGTGTGGACGAGCTGTAAACAACAACACTGATCTTTACACAGTTTAGA